TTGCCTACCTTGCTGCCACAAGGTAGGCCCTAATAGCAGCGCTAGCTTGCATTTGATAGAGCTCACTCCTTGTCATTTGCTCTAGGCATCTCCTTTCCTGCTTCATCTCGCTTAGCTCTTCCATAAACCAGCGAAGTTCTGGGATCCCCAGGGCCAATCCAATCCAGAGCCCACTTCCCCTCTTGTTCCAGGCAGTACTAGGGCTTTGGTCAGACCATGCAACCCCAAGCTCCCTCTGAAACCCAGTTGAGTCCATTAGTAACCTGGGGTGGACTGATCTAATAGATCAAGCAGGGGATGGGGTGGGGTGCCTGCAGGGTTACCCAGAGAGTGGTCTGACCATGACAAGGGAGAAACCGCTAATTCACCCAAATCCTGATCATACTGCCACTGCTCCGACAGAAGAACTAGGTCAGGCATATGATCACTGTTATGTGTTGGACCCTGGATGACCCGGGACAGGCTGGGATGTGACATGGTTGTTATGGTGGCCGTGAACTCCCGAGCTACCTCCAACTGTGCACCAAGAGAAGGCAGATTAAAGTCCCCCAAGACCATAGGCCTGGCCATGGAGTCAATGAGCTCAGGCAGGGAGATTGCTGTGCAGCAGGGAGGTTGGTATACTGTGTGCTCTTATGATAGTATAGGAACAAGAACTGGGGACAAATTGTTGAACAACTTCTAACTTTAAATGCAGTAATAGGCTATTGGAAATCTCAGCATATTTACTGAGGTAACCAATTGTGAAAATCTACAGTGGTCTAAAATTAGCTCCCGAGCAATTTGTTATGGAAATGGCATCATTTCAACTCTGATGTGATTTTGTGGAAGGTGCTTTGTGTGTGCATAGATGATGCAATAGTGGTTTATTTATTTTTGTTTATTAAATGTATATGCTGCCCATGTCCCCCAGAGGGGGAGTAATATTAATAACAATATTGTTGACAATTGTATAATTATTATAATGCATAATTATAATAATTTATCATTATAATCATTATAATTATTAGTGGACCAATAACATATAGATCAGCCTTCCCCAACCCAATGTTTTCCTGATGTGCTAGACCAGTGCTTCCCAAACTTTTTCCTTCATTACCCAAAACCCTAACTTCAAATGGTCACTGAACGAGTGGTCATAACTCAAGGACTACCTGTATTATAAAAACAATATCACTGAATTATCTTTATGTCATTTCAACAAATTACCATTGGTAACTTACTCGATTTTCATCTTAATAGGAATACTTTGGGAGATTTTCAAATATATTTTAGCACACGTGGCAATCTTTAAGTCAATTTAAATGTCCCTGTTGTGATTGGGTAATGGGTTTGTGATGGGTTTGTGTGTCGTTATCCAAAGAAAAACCACTTTTACCCAATTTTAGGTAATTTACCCAGGTTTGGGAAGCACTGTTCAGGCCTTAGAACTGGCCAGTTCTGGAAATTGAAATCCAATACATTTGAAGGACAATTGTTTGCGGGAGGACTAGATTGGGTTGATGAACAATGTCTTTGGGCATTTCAGATGGAAAATTTATTATTTGAACTTCGTGCTTATTCCCATTTTTATCTGAGTAATGGTGACTTCTCCCATCCACTCTAACTCCATTGAAGCGTAACCCAAATTAGATAACTTAGCATTCCCATTAAGTCCTGCTACACCAATGTCACTGAAACAATGTCTTTTTCTTTCAGACATTGTGCATTCTGTTAACGTTAGTCAACATTAAATCAGTGTTCCGGAGTAATAGATAGTGTAGTACAATTGTATAAAATATGTAAAAATATTTTTAAAGGAAAGCAGTTGCATGATTCCAGGATTCACAGCGCCTAAACCAGGGATCATCAGCTTCATGCCTGCTAGCTATTTTGAACTGTAACACCCAGAATCCCTTGTTTTAATCACTTTAGCTGGCTCAGATGCAAATTTAAGTCTACCTGGAGGGCATCAGATTGCTGATCCTTGAACTAAACTAATTACATGTTTACAGAAGCGCTCTGCCTAATTCCATGAGAAATAAATGGGGTGCTCAATCCATTACAAATAGTGTGGCCCACACTGAAATAGTTACCAACTTTGATTTTTCTTGTATAACTTCACTACTGAGTCAGAAATTGTAGATGTTCTTTGGGCTTGGTAGAGAGGCCAGTGCCTAAATAGGTTCAGTGATGCTTGCAAGAGATCCTGACAAATGGGTAGCACAGCCATATGAATTAATAATAAAACAAAAGTCCTTATCTGAGGGCAGCCTGACAGAGTGCTAATCAGCACGTGAGGAAGAATTGGAATGCATTTGATATTTCATCAAAGGAATACTTGAGATCAGCTGAGTTTCTGGCTTTTATATTTTCCCCTATGTAAATAATTTTGTTTTGAAAAAAATAGTATCAACATAATGAAATTATGCCACAGTACAAATATAGTACTGTAACTTAATAGCCGTATTCATAGGCTTAGCACAGCTTTCTTCAACTTGACTGCCTCCATATGTGGTAGGGTTACAATTCTAGATTGATTGATTGATTGATCGATCATGTTTATATAGCCTCCCATGTCACAAAAAAGTGACTCTGGGTGGCGTACAACACTCAATTTAAAAACCCATACATACATATAAAACTATCATTAAAACTACAAAAACTATAAAAACACAACAGGCAGGTAGTAAGGGAGCCATTGCAAAATCTCCGCGGTCCCCTGGGACCCCCAGGCCTGATCACATAGCCAGGTTTTGAGGGACTTGCAGAATGTTAAAGGGGATGGAGCTAATACAGTGTGGCTGGAAATTCTTGGAGTTGTAGCCCCAACATATTGGATGGGCACTGGGTTGAGGATGGTTGAGGATGTATATAATTATGGGAGAACTGGAATACGGATTTTATATTTTCTTGCATATAATCAAAATACAGGGTTTCTAAAGCTCCCTTCCTGTGTTACTGATGTGAAGGCCCTCATCATCATCACAGCCTCTGTGATATGCAGTTGTTCGTAGAGGTGCCCTAATGTCAAAGCAGCTGTTCATATCTAGGAGTTTCATATGGTCATGGCAGCTGGCTTCAGTGGTATTTGATCGTGCGGAGTCTCTCCATAGAAGGATCCCCATATCATAAAATAAAATTCCTTTACAAATGACTGCATCCAGTAAGTAGAGGTAGGATGTTGCAGAAATTTTAGGACTGGAATTTGAAGCAAGGTTCCATGCCTGTTTTACTACAGTCAAGGACTTGTGCAGAAATAAGATTTGCACAGGAATTTAGTGTGATCAGTAATTCCTGGCCTTGTGAGTAAAAGTGCAAAGCTTTTATTGACTTGGAAAAAACAGAATGCTTTACATGTGATGCAGACGTTGACTTGCTACTGCTTATCTGACCCACCTTGTGCAGAAATGCCGATTGCTCCGTCAGTCCATTTTTGTCTGCTCTCCCCTCCCACCACCCCCATGCCATCGGATATCAGGCTTGGCTGGAACCACGGCACACTAAATTATGCTTGCATGTGTACTGATTGAGCACTTTACCTTGGTTTCTTCATAATTTACCATTCTGACTTTTAAACTGCATGTGTCTGCCTACATTTTTGCCTTTTTGTACACAATAATAAATGGATCTGCCCTGTTGATTCTAAACAACTTGAGCTGCAATTCTGTATAGCTTGGAGGAAGAGTGTAATCAGACATAGACTTTTAAAACATGGTGCTTAGGATCTGAGCCAGTTAATTCTCATATTACCCTTCCCTAGCCAGGCACTGTCCTAATGCATTGGACTATACCATGATTCTCAGCTAACAGAGCCAGGGATTTATTGGCTGGGAAGCTTGGGAGTTGTAGTCCAAAAACTATGAAAGCCACCTGGTAGTAGAAGGCCAAGATACTTTGATGCTGGTACACAATGTTATCAGTACAGTTTGCATTGCGGTAAATCACAAGTGGACAACCTGTGGCCCAGAATCACATGCACCCAAGTCCTCCTTTTGCAGCTTTAGAGCCCCCTTGACCTTGTCTGGTGAAAACCAAGTGCATTGCTTCCTGCCATTTTGAAATGGGAAACAAAATATAGTTGTGGAAGCCCTAAAATAGGCATAGCACATTAAAAAAAAAAAAACCTCTAAAAATTTGCCCTGCCCACATGCATAATGTGGCCGGGCCTTCTTTGCAGCCATTAACACCCCCTCAAATATTGAATGAGGCTCTTAGCTACTAGAAGGTTGCCCCTCCCTGGTGTCATTGATCATGGAGCTCTGCAGTACTTTTATCTGGGGCTGCTTTCTCAAGCAGTTCCAAAATACATGAATGAAAGCAGGCGTTTTATTGCAGGTAAGGAATCACTTTTCACTAGTACTTCAAAACAAGCTTCCCCAGTCTGGTGTCTCCCCAGTGTGCTGGGACTTGTAGCGGCCACAGCTGCAGCCAGTGATTGTGGAGACTCCAACATATCCAGAGGGCATCAGGTTGCCAAAGCCTGCTTAGAAGATAGACCAACAGTTCATATATATAGCTTCAGCAAATCCTTACTAACAGTCCCATAAGGTAGACCAATATTATGATCTTTATCTGAGTGAGAGAATGCTTGCCTAAAGCCATCTCATGTGAGGCAAGATGTGGCAAAGAGGCTTATTTATAACTGCCCTTCTTAGCAACAGTACAAACTAACAGTGGCTTGTTTTGCTCTCATCTCTGTTAAGTGACAGCATAATAATTTCTCCTTATCATTTGATGGCAAAAATGGTAAGTTACATCTGCTTCATCTTGTTTCATGGCTGAGAAAGGGCAGAGTCCTTTCCTACAGAGTTGGCGCTAAGATGAACAAGATGTCCTCAAGAAATGTGTTGGAAACAGTCCTTGGAAACTCCTTCCCCAAACGATGGCTTAGAAGCCTTTAGTTCCCCTTGTAGCAGAACACTGCTGAAACGACTGAGATTTTTAGCAAAGCTTTTAGTCAGTTGCAATTTCTGGTGTCCCAAGACATACTGTGTCTCTTTTCTGTCTCAACCCTCCAGGACTCTTTCCCCTGCAAAGTCCCCCTCATCATCTACTGGCTCCATTGCTTCCAGCAGGAAGTATCCCTACCCCATGCCTCCACTGCCTGACGAGGAGAAGAAGGCCCACAGAGCGAGTGCCAGGGTATGCTGTGGCTTCTTCTTTGGTGTTTATTGCAAGGGCAGTCTGTTTGGGTGCAGGTAAGAGGCATTTGGCCTGTGATTGGGCTGAAATTGGAACGTGGATCAGCAGAGTATTTTAAAAACAGAAGAGCAGGAGTGGGCAAGCTAACGGCCCATGGTCACATGCAGTCCTCTGCTGAATGTCAGAAGCCCTTCACAGGCACGTAATTATTCCTTCTGGAAATAGGGCTCTACCCCATCCCTGTTGATGCAGGGAGTGGGATCAGAAAGAGAGGGGGGCTGGGAAGTGGGGGGGGGGGCTGTAATTCCACTGTACCTGAAAGCTGTCAGACTGGGGAGGCTCTCCTATTGCATAAGGAACAGATAGAAACTACTGTTCTACAACTAGGCAGTCTTCCTTTTCTCTTTTTACAGCTATGGGAGACTTCCATTTAGGTATTTAGCTTCCACCTGAGCTGACACCAGAACTGTTTACTTCCAATTTTATACAAATTCAGCATCACTGAGTCACTGAACATTCATCTGCTCAGCAGACAACTTGATGGAGCGAAGATACAGATTGCCACAGGATAAGCAAGTTCTCCCACTGAAGGAGAACTGATTTTCTGCAGCTAAGTGAAGTTTTGTGAATTACAAATAAAGATATTAACCTGGGATATACAGAACTGAACATGCTAAGAGATTGTGCATGATGTCAGATATTATATAGACATTCAGATACTGCTTTTGGAGTCCCAATGGTGGTCCCCCCCCCCCCCCTGGTCTGACATATTCCCAAATATCTAAAAAAAAGAGTGATTCAGAATTTGGTACATAATCATTTATCCTGTGTGCATGAACCTCTCTGTTTGCCACTATCCATGTGTAAGGGATTAATCATTTTACTGTAGTAGAATTAGCATGCAGGAATAAGAAATGTTTTTTCCACAGCTGGGTTCTAAAGAGGCAAAATATTTTGACATAAGCTTCAATAACAAAAGAGATTCTTTTCTTTTTTTTTTTACCTGTTGTGATTACATTCTCAGTAAAAAGCTACCCGTAGAAAGTTATGAAATACAAGCACTGTAGTTAGGTTTTTGGTGGTTGGGGTTTGTTTTTTTTTTTTGGCCTGAAGAGCGTGCAACAAAACTTAGGAGTCAAGTTAGATGTTTCATGGCAGGTTCATGAATATAGCTCAGCTGTATGTAAAGGTCTCAGGTTCAATTCCTGGCATCTGCCAATAGGATCAGAATGACTGGCTGAAAAACCAGGAAAGCATTAACAGTCTGTGTTGAGTGAGAGAGAGGGACCAATGGCCTGGTTGGATATAAGGTATGTATATCTGGCATTAAAAACAAAAAAACAAAACAAAACAAAAAAAGCACTGCAGGAGGCAAGGTTGATTCAGATTGCGATTATAGTGCTATGTTTTCTACCTTTTTCTCAAAACTGGTTTCCTGCCAAAATTCTCAGACCCTTCCTCCCATTCATCCAAGTGCCATTCAGGACTAAACTTTCCCTCATGTTCTAAGAACAACTAGCATGAAGGGTCTAGAATGTCTCTCTAGAAATTTTGAGAACAAGGATTTTTTCCGCCTCCCTTTCCTCCTGTTGAAATCAATTGGATTAATCTGGATCCAAATGGAACCCAATTTTTTCTTACCTATATGGAACTCAGCCATTAATGTGAAGTTGGTCAAAATGCCATATCTGCTGTACATATTAAATCCCTACTTTCTGAAGTTCAATCATCTTAACCACCCAATTCAGTTTCACCTTTTATCCTAGTTAATGATATAATACTGTGTAAGCTTGTATATGTTTTGGCCAAATAGGAAATGTTGTTCAAATGCTTGACTGAATGACCAGAGGCCATTCATCTATGTACAGTTGTATAATAATAATCTTTTCTGCTGGGATGTCTGGAGGACTCTCATCATTTCTATTTGGATAGCATAAAGGAGAACAGTGTTCAGTAGGAGTCACCAGAGCACAAAGTTTTTGTAAAGCTTCTACAAGCCAAGCATTGTGGGAAAGTTGTCAGTTTTTCATAGAAGAGTGGTCATCCAGGGTGCAGCCATTTCAGATGATATGAGGCATACGATTTAAAAAGAAAGGAGAGAAATCATCAAAGACATATACAGAAAAAGTTTTTTGAATATCCCAAGGAGGTTTTCAGTGTCCTCTTGCTAATTTCACATCAAAATTATGGTGAGTTAAAATAATTACCATTGTCCATATGTCCTTGGTGTAGAGTTCTCTTCACTAGCTGCTCATAAGCAAGATTTAGATATGAAGCTTTGGGATAGTAGAATTCATAACACGTGTGTTGGATCTGAGCATTATTTGGCACTGTGTGTTCCGCTTTGATATTCTGTCCATTATGGAGGAGATTTGGGGAAAATAATTGCCTTACAATGCCATAATGGAAGAGCAATATTGGCTCAATTGCATGGACAGGATTTAAAAGGTCTGCCTAATGGTTCTTGCAAAATCTTAGCATTAAAAGCATTCTTAGGCATACAGTATCACTTAATATTTTGACAGTATTTGGATAGGAATGTCATTTGTCTTTCTGAATCTTCTACCTCTTTCACATAATTCCTTCGGTATGTGAAGTGCCATATATGGCCTTCTGTCATGTGACTGGACTTACTATAGGAAATTACACTTTTTTTTGAGAATGTCAGTTCTACAAGGAGAAAAGGTTCTATTCTAAAGATACCTTCAACTGTAAAATATGTAAAACTTTAAAGGTATTATATTTATACGACTTTGCCAGTTATATTTATACAAAACTGGCTTTGCAGTCATAACAGTCTGTAGAAAGGTGGCATACAGTTTTGGTAAGTATTTTGATTTGTACTAAATAGGAACAAAAGAACACATAAGGCAAATTCATCCATAAGAGAGCATCTAAAAGACTATAAAAGAATATATATAAAAGTCTAATTTTGCAAATATATAGCGCGAGGCAGGGATTTGGAGGATGAGTGCCGAGTTAGGCCTGGTGAAGCTTAGTTATCATTATAAGTCTTTTTCTTTAGTTTCAATGATTTTGAATTAACACTCTGCGCTCCCCTCCCAGTTAAGTCAAAAGGCTTTCCCCCAAGTTAAGGGAAAGCTATACTAGAGACCATCCTCCCCACTACTTTTTGTTCTTGCTAATTTTTAGAGTTTAAAATGTGCCTTTTTGGATCTTTGGCTTGATGTAAGTCCATGTGTTATTAGAAATTGGCATTATTGCTGTCTTCCATTCAAATTACTAAGACAAAGGAAGTGGGTGTTTTCCTTCCCTTTTCCTTTTCAGACAGAACTGAATGTAATGTGAGAACTGAGGTGATTGTAGATTGTTCACCAAGAAAATAACCATTCTCTGTAGTTAATTGTAGACATTGTCATTGACCATTATTTGATCATGGCTATCATTTGTTAATATTCTGACACTTAGTAATCTTAATGTAAAGTGAAATATAATTTTAATAAACTCTGGCGTTTATTTCTGTGGTCTAGTGCAGGCTTTCTCTGCTTACAAGCTTGGGTTGTCTTGGTGTGTAAAAAGGTGATGGATGCCATCAGCAAAAAGCGTGAATAAATCCAAGAGAATGAAAATTGGCAAATGGATTTTAGTTCCAAACTACTGTCCAGATAAAATGGTAGGAGAGACTCCTTACTTCTGTTGCTGTGAGCAGCTCTTGACTGCGTTTTAAGCTGTGTTTTAAGCTTTATGTTTATGAAAAGAGCATAACTGCTTCAAGAGTTTCACTTGTTAATTGTGTTTTAATTAACCCAAAAGAGCAAAAATGGTTGGTTCCTCAGAATGGGTTGTATCCAAGGTGTCATGCCAGCAGAAAAAATACAGGGGATAATTGATCTGCTGGCATGATGTACCAGCAGATGCACAAGTACAACTGAAACAACTGCCACAAACAACACTCAACAAAGAAATCATAACAAATGCTGGATTTGACACAAGCAGTAGAGGCTTTGTGCTATCAGAACACCATCACTGGATACAACCCACTGTTTTTTCTTGATAAAGAAAAGTCTTGGTCATGAAATGTGTAATGCCTTTGCCTTTCAGCAGTTCTCTTATCGTTAGTAATGTCTCAGTAAGATGTGATTGATATAAGTATTTCAGTACCCTTCAGCTTTGATTCACTGCATAAGCAAAGAAATACGTAGATGGACAAGAATAAGAACACTGTCCCAATAATTGCTTCCAAACTATAGTTGTGGCTTAGCAGTACTTTGGCAAGGCAACAACACAGAATGGCTTTAATCAACAAAGAAACAGCAACAGAATAGCTTACCTGCAAATAAGGATGAACTATGGAGACATTGGGATATACCATTTTTAAAGGATGCTATTTTGGCACAATTTACCTGAACAGTCATAGCTGCATTGATCAAAGAGATGGATTTCAACTTTCATAATTCCTAGTCAGTAATGAGCACAGTAAAGTTGAAGTTAGCATAATTTGTAAGGCTCTATTGGAGCTAAAACTCAAAAATGACCATTAACATCTAGGAAATCAGTCCATTACAACTAGGCCTCAAAATAAATCAGTCTCAAGTAAAACAAGAAACAGAAAACCTTTCAGAACTTTATAATAGGAATTCCATCCTCATAACTTTGGTTAAAAACAAAAAGTGTCATTTTTTATCTCAAATATTGTCTTAGTTGCAAAGTGAATTTTACATGTGTGTTTATATAGAAAATGGCTACTAATTATTTTTGTGCTACATAGGCATCAGCAATTTCACATGGCAATCTGTAAACCTGGTTTAAAATGATAGTTTTTTATCTGGTTGCACTTGCAGTAATTAAGTAATTTTTGGAGTCTCTCAGCCAGGTTTACTAAGCATATCAAATTTTAACTTTATAAAACAATTGGCTCTTATCTTCAGTTCTAATGAAGCATAGCTTTTGTAAAACTTATTCTGAAACCAAAAAAGAAATCTAGTCTAATGTAGCTATTTGAAATTAAAAATCAAGATAAATTAATAACATAGGTGGAAAGCATTAAACAATTTAAGAGAAAGAGGCCAGTAAGGGACAATATCTTCCCTATATCCTTTTGACAATCAGGCAGGTTGAAGATGGCACAGTGGGAATTTAATGAATAGATTTGTAAATCTTATTTGAATTACGTGTAAATGAAAATCTAAATAAAATATCCCTCTGGTCTTTATAAATTAGAAAAATGGCCATAGAAGTATTTTTTTAAAGCCTTAGAGGCCTTATGACCTTACATATTCAAATTTTTGAAGATATATTTTTTACGGAATATTTAGAAACACTTGTAAATATGCTTTACTGCCCTTTGGATGCTTAGTGGTGCTAAGTAATAACTGTAAAATATCACAGTTGTAATTCTGCAAATCTTAAGATATCACATATCTTACTATGATACAATAACGCTGACTTGCCTAAGTATTGAGAATATGTATGTGCTAGGGCATATGGTCTGGTGCTTATTAAACTGTAAATCTTTGAGCAAAAATGTACCACTGAATTATTTGGATACTGGCCACCCTTCTAACATTATGAAAGGGTGCTGGCCATTTATTTCAATTTTTAGCTATTAATTGTTGTGATTTTTTTCAGTATAACTACTACCATATTGTAAATTTGTCACTAAAGTATTGTCAACATGAATACTTCAGCAATGTAGTTGGTGAAAGATATAGCCAGTAACTGGATTCTTGAAGTAGTGTTTTTGTGTTGGTTATATAGTTCAGATAATTAAAATTATCCCATGTGTAAAAAGCTGTATTTACCACTGGATATTATTTCTATAATAGCAACTAATAATGCATTTCTTGAAACATCAAATTTTGTCTAATTCCATTGCAAAACGCTCCCCATTCTACCACTGCAGTGCTGGATGATTTTGTTCTTGTATCAAAATTTCTAAAGCCAGCTTTCCTGTCCCTGTCCCTGGACAAAATGATCTTTTTAATAAAGTTGTAACCTGGGGATATCAAATCTTGCATATTTCAATCCCCATAGAGTCCCTTACTATGAAAATATTTATTACAAAATAATTGCATTGTTACTAATGTACCGTTACATCAATAAAAAAGCGACTTTCGAACAAAGATAATTGTACTTCAAAACATTTCTTAATAATTATGGTATTTATCAAGAACTATTACTGTTAAGGTTTGTAAGCTGGTAAAATCCTGTCAATTCTCTTATATCCAGAGTAGATCAATGTCTACTATAAAAGGATCACGATAGGATTCCTTAAAAAAAAAAAATCCAAGTATGCTTTGCAAGATACAAGTGCGAGTTGAAAGAGGACTATTACTGAAATTATGAAACGTGCATGTCACTCTAGTTAGCATACTTCTCAAATATAAGTAAATCTGTATTCTAAATCTGGAAAAGGTGCAACAATGAGCCTGGAAGAATGCAATTATAGACAAAAAACAGAAAAGGAATCCCGAGCAAAAGCCCATCTTAAAGGCAATTGCAAATCCCTTCTGTATTGTTGCCAAGAAACTACAAGGACATCAAAGTGGCCCACTTGGCTCAGAAGAGAAACACTGACATGATAAAAGCATTCTGGGACAGCCTAGAGACGGTACCCGTAAACTCACCAGTTTGCCTCTTGCTATGCCTTCTGTGGTACCCTTTTTGTAAGTCTGTCTACCAGCCCCAAAAGGTTAAAAATCCCTATTAAAAATTATGGCTAATTACTCTTGCTACCACTGCTACTAATTCAGATATACAGTAAGATTTTTTCCAGTTCAAATGCTAATATTCAACACCTTATTGAAACCACTCCAAATAACACTAATTGCTGTAAATTTATGACTACTAATGAAGCTGTATCCAGACTGTTACAAGTTATATGCAGTCCTGACCAACTAACTCTTGTTTTATTTCATATAAAAGTCTGGCAAGCAGATATCATTCCAATATATTGTACAGCCTGTGAACAAAGAAGCTAGGCTTGGTCTGTGGTCAATTTTTGCAAATCAGCAAGGGACTAGGAAGCGTTTCACTGTTTCAGTACTGTTTTCAGTAGCTTGTCAGAAAGCTCTCTGAAAATGCACTCCATTTAAATGGAGATATTCAACTACATCCAGGAAATTCATATGGTAATCTTTCCAGATTGCAGAAGAGAAACAGCTAGAATTCTGGCAGATAAGAAATATCTGGGGCAGGGGGGAGGCACTAAGATCACAGAATGGAACCAAAGATTCCAGTTTCAGTGTGGTTCTTAGGTAAGCATCTTTGCAAGAAATCTGAAGCTGTTAAACATGGTCACCTGTCAATCCTTCTCTTAACCAGTCTCCTCCCACGTTCTTTATAACCAATAAAGAAACATGGGGGATTTTACGGAATAAAAGACCTATAATATTTATCAAAAAGGAAGATGGTCTCAAGACAATCCCCACCTGCAGGAAATTCTGCTTTCACTCTTGCATTTTCAACAAATCTGATTTTCCCATTTTAAAGGTAAATTATTGGGGGAGATGTGGGGGAATAATTTAAAGACATGATCTACTTTAATAATCTTCCACAATTACTCTAGAGTGTGTTTATTATAAAAAAGAATGCTCTTTATAATCAATAGGCTGTAACATTGCAGTCCATATTACAGCTTATGATGCCATTCAGTGCACATGCAACCAAATATGTCAAGGGAAAACATTTGGTAAAGCAGTTGTTTAATTAAAACTAAGCATGTATGATTGCAAGAGATACAACATGAAAGTTGTGTTTCTTTAGAGCATGGAAAAAAAATCTCCCTATAGAAAAGAACAGTGATTTATTTGTGATTTGTGCATTACCTTTAGTACACGTAGATGGGAGACCTATATTTAAAAAGAATAATAAATTGTAGGCAATTAGTTTTTTGCCAAAAAAACCCAAAAAACTTGCATGCAGATATGTGATATGGCAGTAGCAGAGGCACAGTAGTGAGATGGAAAGTCATATAAATTGTTAAAATAAAATAATAAAAAACTAAATTAAAATGGCAAACATAACTAAGTCAACTCCCAATTGAACAGTTCCTACAAAATAAACACAAAGGATACAATATTAAGGCAGCAAACTGAACACTTTGAGAAATAATATTTTGGTTGCTACTTAGAAAGGGATAAGCCTTTTAGTTTATTCTGAGTAAAAAAAAACAAAAAACAAAAACTTCCTAGAAGCAAACCCCCATGAAGTTTTATGCATTTATTTCAATACATTCCCATTTTTCCTTCCTAGATGGTACTGGTACAAGGCATATTCCAATGTGATGAGCTTTAAATGATACAGAAAGAGAAATTAAATGTAACCACGAACAATTGGTTTCCTTTCTTCCTCATGCAAATTATAAATATACAAGGCGGATCCACTCAAAACAGCATTTATTGTATTTCCTTCTTTCATTAGTTATAAAAACTATAAAAGCATATTGATCAATATTTATAAAATATGCAAATATCACAATTTAGATACACACATTTTTTTGGCGCAAAGCAAAATGACGTGGAATGTAGGACCATGCTCATCCATCTGTCTTCACTCCGAGTTAGATGCTCATGACACACTGAATGAACTGCCAAAACAAAGAAATTGTGTATTAGGTATAGCTTCTCATCCCAATCTTTTTCCTGCAAATATCCATGGCAAAATTCCTGTAATGCAGAGAAAGGGAGCCTGTGGCCGTTCAGCAGTTGGGATTCCAACTCTCATTATTCCTAAAAACTGCGTGCAATACCTGATGAGAGTTGAAAATCTAGCATCTAGATCAGGCTCCTTTCCAGCACTAGGTGACTACAATTAAATGGACAAAATCTCACACTCTTTTAATGTTTTAAAACTCTTTATTTTAAACCAACCAGGGAGCATTATGGCACCATTTAATGGTGTGGCCAATGTAGTGGCACTTTCAAGTATCATCTTGCAAATTCTTGATCTGGAGGGCCACAGGATCATTATCTAGTTCTCAACCTATCCCAAGAAACATTGAAGTTCTTTAAGATATTGATCCATATTGTCCAGCAGCTTATGCATCTTTTAATCGCTTTGCTAACCACTGGAAACATACTTGGCATTTTTGGGCAGTGAGGGAGCAAGTTAGGAGTTCATTAGGAACTAAGGCTCATGGACTAGTATCCAGCATGAATCTAGTGCAATCCAGCATATGGCATGAAGCTGTCTGCTGGGAAATCCCTGACACTAAACATGAGTAGATTCTGTAGCTCAGTGATAAAGCTATATGCTTTGCATGCAAAAAGCATTAGGTTCAATTTATTTATTTATTTACTTCTCAAACTTATCCCCGCCCATCTCCCCCCAGGGGGACTCTGGGTGGCTTACAACAGATTAAAGAATAAATAAATAGTTAAAATTTATAAAAAAACACATTTACACAAAGTAACTCCAATATTCAAAAGCTACCAGGATATAGGGCTGCTGCCACTCACTTTAAACCAGCTACCTCCATTCTGGCTGCTCTCCAGCCATATGGACTTTCACTTCTAGAATTCTCACCAATTGCCATCAGAATTCTGAGAGTTCACAAATATGGAGGGTGTGCAAATTTGGGGAAGGTGGGTGTAGGCAATACAATGTTAGATAGATCATGTTAAGATATGGCTTTCACTGTTGCTGTGGACTAACTTATGATCCTCAAAGGCCTCCCATTATCTGGAAGTAGCTTCCACTGAAGACAGAGGCACAGCTACAGGATTTGATCAAAAGTTCTATGGAAAAAGGGAAAACTAATAGAAGAGCTCTTCAATTGATACTGAAATCACTGTTCACAGCACTTAAGGAAAAACGTATTTCACATCTCTAACTGGAGAGAATGACTTAGGCCCACTTACATCATCATATTGGAAATTCACCATCCCTTGCTGGGCTGCATCCCTCCTTCGAAAACTATCTGTAAAGAAACAAAGCAAAACAAAATAAAAAAAATTAGGTGGCAAATCACATATTGGGACAGAAAGAAGAAATAGTCTGTTAAAACTCTCAGTTTTGAAAAAACCAAGCAACAGTTGGCCAAACATCAGCAATTATTTTTGAACAGAGACCTACTGATTAATTTAGGCCCAAGGATATTAATACACTTCGCAAATCCACAAGTCCTAATCCCTTATCCATCAAAATGCCACAGGACTCTCTTTCCTAGGTCTGGTGCTCTTCAAAATTTATATCAATATGATTTAACCTGGAAAAAAGTCTCAGATAGAAATAGAATAGGATCCTTCAAATACTGGAAGGACTGTATTATAGACAAAAACAGTTTTGGAATAAGATCATTAGGACTAGATCTGATGGGTTTAAGATAGCTTGAGATTAAAACTCAAACTGAATTTCAAGAGAAATATCAACAATGATGGGCTAGCCAACCAGAAAGGTCTTGAACAGCCTTCTATTGAGGATGGTTTAGGTTTGTTTTCCTAACATAAGCAGTTAGTTGGACTGGATGCCTTACATAGCCCATTCCAGCATGCTTTGTGTTTCAGGAAAAAAAACCTTGAATAAGCTTGATTTGATAGAAGGAGAAATTAAATACCAGCCAAGTTTAGTAATCGTTGTGAACTAAATCATACCAGTGAGAGCTCTGAGTTTTACACAGCAGGCTATGTAGTCATCAAAACTGATCTTTCCACGACAGCTGTATCGTTTCACAATTCCGCTGATGGCCTGTGGACTCAATCTAAATCCTAAATGAATAAAGGACACAAAAGAGAGCAAAACGTGTTGAATATCCTATATCAGGAATCTCTGTTTTGGGGGTAGGAAACACAATAACTGCATGACGACTTAGTTCTTTTAATTTTAAAAGAAGTTGGACGGAGAATTGGTATACTGCTAAATAAAACACCAATGTCTAGCATCAGCTTTATTCAAAAGAACGCTTCTAGGAGTCTGGGAATGATGGGAAATCCTGTAAAATGAGATAACGGAGGCATAACTGAAAACACCAATCTCTACAAAAAGAAAGGAAACCTCCAAAGAAACCAAAGCGGGCGCATACAAAGCTTTTAAAAGGATGGATGGAGGGGTATACAGTCCCAAAAAGAATACAACTCAGTAGGAAGGAACTGTAGTGTTTATGTCAGAAAGGATAAAGCACAGAACAAGCTAGAGCTTGCAAGAAACAAAGCTTTTGCAGGAAAAATAGAAACAAAGAGAAAGGCAAAGAGGCTGTAGGCTTGTTGTGAGGTCAGTGAAGTAAACTGATCACAGGTGATGGCAGGAAGGGAGGATGTCAACTTGTATTTTATTTATATTGACTGATTGATTGATATAAAGAAGTTTCCCTTCTTTTCTGCAAATGGGAAATTGTCTCAACTGGTCATTGCTATCCTACTAGCAGAAGGAGAAAGCTGTAGCTCAGCACAGACAGACAAAGGGAGAGTAAAGAACTAATTTAAATAAAACCTGGTCTACAGAGCCAGATAAATTATATCTTTGGGTTCCGAAAGAACAAGCAGTGGTGATTGCAGAACTACTGTGTTTCTAGAAAACTCTGCAGTTTCAAAAGTTGGAAAGAGAGCAAATATTGTCCCTATTTTCAACAAGGGAAAGGAGGTTCCTGAAAATTACAGATCTGCCAACTTGACCTCTATCCTGTGCAAGGCCCTTGACCAGCTTATTAAACAGAATTGGGCAGGAATACAACAATTAGCAGGAGGCAGGTCTGTGATAAACCAGTCATGCCAAATTAACTTCTTGACAAGGTTATACCAGCTTAATAGACTTCTGCATCATGGAAGGTGCTTTTCCCATTCTACTCTGACTTGGTCAGTCCCCACTTGGAATATTATATCAAGTCCAAAAGGGATATGGACAAACTGGAGTTCAGAGGATAGTTTCCAAGACGATGTGATGGGAAACAAAAACTGATGATTAATGGTTAAAGGGATTGAGTATGTATTGCTTGCAGACCAGAAGATTGAGGGGAGGTATAACAACAGTTTCCATTAATCCCATTTAAATTTACATAGACTAGACTAGATCGATCTTCCCCAGTCTGATATAATTTCAACACAACTGGCGAATTCTGGGAGTTGAAGTCCCGAGAAGTCAGAAGACAGTCAGGTTAGGGAAGACTCAGGGTTCTTCGGTAGGTTTTTCCCAGCCAGAGGGAAATTCCACAACTCACCCATGGACATCAACGCTTTCTGTAGCTCCTGAGAATCAACTGTACCACTGCGGTCACTATCCACAGTCATAAAATGTTGCCTCCAACCATTCAGTACAGCCCAAAGCTCTTTAAATTCATTGAAGCCCATTGTGCCAGACATGTCTCTCTGGATTATTGTTAAGGATCAGACCATACTAGTAGCAAAACAAATGCAAGATTAAATATTCTTTATTGTTCACAGAAGGATTGCAGCTATGATATCAGGGGTAGATGGTCACTCTGGACTTACTTTTTAGTAAAAAAGTATCTACTGAATACAGCTCCAATTCTATGCACGCTTATTTGGGAGCAACACCTATGGAATTCAGTGGTTATTTCTTCTGGGTAGAATATATTTTTTAATGGAGAAGCAAAGGACACTGCAGATTCACTTAATGGAAAAACAGGTAATAGCTAAATATTAAATAAATATTAAGTATGTACGAGCAATGAAACATTTCTTTCCAACAATTTCAACACAACATAATTACATTGGTTATACCCACATGTAAAACCTATACATGGAAAGAAAACATACTTTATTAAAATATCCTTCTTTATGGACAATTTTACATAGTGCAGGTTTCATACCCATAAGTACAAAGTGGTCTGAACCAGAAATTGAAAAAGCAGCTCAGAATAGTCTATATAAAAAATTAAAAGTTATTTCAGCTGCCAAAGTTCCTCCATTATCTGAAAGCATTTCCTGCAACCCCCAACTGTACTAGAAATCAGAGCTAAACATATGAAGGATACATCAAGCATGGAGATCATGAGTCTGCATGTTTCTAAATTAAAAGCTGTTTAAAAGAAAATAGGACAAGTGAGTAATAGATAAAGACATTTATGCTCATCACTGATTGATGTCTGTCATTTGTCTCTGTAATGCCTAGGGAAAATGATTTTTAAAGCAGAGCGATAGTATAAACATTTTCCTATAATGCTGTTGAATTTCAATAATTCAAATATAAGTAAAAGTTACTTAAATACTTTATCAAGTTGAGCTTGATTACTGATCACTATATGGACATGTCCATGTTGTTTTCTTGACAACATGTGGAAGAGGTTGGCCATTGCTTTCTTCCAAAATGCTTTTTTAACTTTCCAGTCTACTCCATTAACATGGACTTTTCTGGTGTCCTCCCATCAAAGTACTAATCAGATCCAGCCAAGTCAAGGCAACATGTTGTGATCTACAATTCCCATAATGCCACACCACTGCCGGGCTGATTCCGGCATGTGGAAATCCACAAACTCTTTGCAGAGATTCCTCATTCACTTCATGGATTCTAGTCCATGAAAATCTATACCACAGCGAAATCTTACACATACCATAAAAATGTTATTTAATCTGCCAAACTTACGTTTATAGGTACCCACAATTCCTGATTGAGTCAGACATTTTTGTAGTTCATCAGCATCTATTTGCCCATCCTTTGAAAACAGAAACAATGTCAATCCAGTTTTACTTTCCTTATGCCCCAAACATTCCTCCCTTTGCCAACAAAATAGCAGGTACTATGGGAACAAGGACATGATCTGACTATGACATATCAACGGGGACATTCAGATATAAGGCTAGTATATGGCTTGGGCATATAAGAACAAACTAGAATGTTCCCTCCTTTCTCCTGGCAGGAAAATCTCTGGTCCTTGGTTGCAGCAATTGTTTATACAATTCTTCCAAGTATTCTTTCTTCAATGCAACCTTAGCAAGCCTAAATTATTGCTTTCCGTTCAGATGAATGAATGGTAGAATGCAGCTGTGAAGATATGCTCACTGAGGAAAATGTATGCAAAATTAATCTCTTGATGATGAAATAGAGAGATGCAGGATGTAAAACTTTAAAAGAAGAGTATGCTATATTGTGTATTCCTTAATCCATCTTTATACCTTGCAGAAGACACACTTATATTTTGAATAAAATATAAAGGATATCACACAACTAGATCAAAAAATTAACTAACATCATATAACTAGATCCTCAATCTAACAAGCAACACATCTTGAATCAATAAGGGTGGAAAATCGTACCTGCCCAGCTACTGTAGCAAAATAACTATATAATGGATCTTGAGTCTGACCAGGAAATGCTGGTCCTCCAGGAGCACTTCCATACTAGAAATATAAAATGCAATTATTAATTTATTTTTTGTTAACCTAAATTACAAATAACCAAGAACCAACAATGTTTGCTTTAAGAACACTTAATACCAATATGGTTTCAGTAAACTAACAGCCTTCTAAGTCTGATTGCAATGCACCTATGAATATTTTACATTATCCAGAAAAAGGCCAATTTAATCCACTGGTTTAATTCATGTTTCCCTTTGGTACTTTGTACAGTTCAAAGTATACAAAGGCAAGGAAGCAGATTAACTAATTGGTCAAACCAGTAAAAGAAATAATATTTCAGCAACATAGTATAAAAGTTTGCTTAGGGGATATACCCTAACAATAACAGAGGGGAGGTGATGGATCTGGACTAAAAGAGCAATCATAAAGCCAGCTAAGGGGATACTGGGAATGGCAGAAGACTCATTCCACTGGCAGAGTGCTATTCCACTTCTCTCCCAGAGCAACTCCCAACAAAAATGCATCTATGGAAAATTCAGTGCACATATATATACCCCATCATTGAGCCCCAAGTAGGACAATACATTCATATATGAGATACAGTCTTAGACCAGCACAGCCCAAAGCCTCTCATTTCTGCCACAAAGGCATAGATTAGGTCTTCCAGCTACATGAGTCTTGAGGTGGAACTATTCTTTTCTTTTGCATCAGAAAGGGGGAAAACACAGAAGACCAGAATCCAAGAGAGAAAAAATGCTTGGCTTGATTTAGGAAATGACAGCTCTTATGCCCACAGAATATTGCTGAACATACACCTCAGTGTTGCTCTGTCACTGGCTGTGTTCACTAATTGCACTAAGCATGGTTTTTTAAACAAAGCTTTGTTGAAATAGCCACAGTGCTATTTCACCACACATTAAACGATGACCATGTTTTTGCAAACCACAGTGGCTAGGTTCTCTCAACAAACTAAGCCAAAAACAAGCAAAACAAGCATAAACAAGCATAATAGTTTAGTTCAATGGGTGAAAGAGGTCTCCTGATTGCATCTGGCTCTCACCAAAGGGACATTTTCCATGCTGCAAAGTTCAGCCCACTTAGCTGGAATCTAATCCAAGGTTTTTCTCTTTTATGAGATATATACGCTTAGGAAAATTGTCCTTTTTTAGTCCTTGTATTTTTGTCTTCCTGTTTCATTTTCTCATAAAATAGTTCTCCTTTTCTCCAACCCCACCTCAGAAACACAGATAAGCAAAAATCCAAATGACTGCTGATTGCAACCCATGTACCTTTTCATTGTAATAAGCAAGAACTATCCAGAAACAAAATCTCGTAGCGACTGGGCAGAACTGTTTGTTTTATACAAGGAAATGCCTTCATTTGTTTAGCAAAACTATTCATTTAATATGTTGGAAAGTTCACAGTACTTAAGTTCACAGCTTAATTGAAGGAAATAAGCAGGCATATACAAACTCACTTAGTTGGCATAACGAAAGATTTCTTTAAAAGAATACACCTAAAGTTCATGCTGGCATCTATTGGTGAGAGGCATAAGATCCCACTGCCAATAATCGCTTACAGCCTCTACACCTGTATGAAGCCATAAGAAGATAATGTGCAACAGTTGTATTTATAAATATAAGATATTACATGGTAAGACAGAATTTAGCCTCACATTTGGCCAAGATTCATTTAAGAAATTATAGGTGTAGGTTTAATTTTATTTATTTATTTATCGT